TTAGCAATTATGAGTCAGTATTTCAAATATTTATTGTTCTTCCCCTTAATTCTTAATCATTGGTAATTTTTCACGTAGAAGGGGAAACACCGGACGTTTTCAAAAGGAATAATTCTGGGGAAACATTCAGCTATCATTAGATTGTTACTTTCTAATCCCTCAAATTTCATTTCTTATGTTTAATGTATACACTGAAAAGAAAAGAATATTTCAATCATTAACTGTTTAGGAAGCTATTAAACTGTTGAGAAATAAACTTTTTAAGGTGGATAATCATAATGATTGCTGATGACTGAGAGTTACATTTTTTTTAACCATATGTTTACACTTCAAATATAGGTTAAAAAAACTTAACATTCACCATAACTACACTGTGATACGTATTAGTACAGATATTATAAAATTATATCACAAAATTTAGCAGATTACTTATCAGTAATCAAGAATCTTCCCAATTAAATTAGTATAAACCACATAGCAAAGCAACTGCTAATCTACAAAACAGGAAATAGACATGGAAGATGTATAATAAGCAGCTGGGGGATATAGAATTTATCCCATGAGTGTTGTTAAGAGCTCATAATTTAACAGTGCCAAAGCCCAAGTGTGTTATGAGGGTCTTTTCTCAAAAGTGCCATTAATTACATATCCTACAGATGCTTATTATGTATTCTATTTATGACAAAGTATAAAATATAGTCTAAAATGTACAGATTCAATATATTGAAAGTGACAAAATAGTTATTCTGGCCTAGCAAAAAATGTTGACTTAAACTTCAACTTTTAGTCTCTTCATAAAAGAGACTAATTATGAATCTGATGTTGTGAGTCTTTTGGACTTACAACATGGTATGTCATCAGTGATCAAATCCTAACACAAATATTTGAGATTCTTTTGCACAAACATAACCCCAAGTGATGAAATAACAGGACATTTTTATTCTTAACTAAAAATGAAAATACCACAGAAACAACTCTTGGAAATTACCTTGGAAAGTTAGAAATGATGTAGTTAATGTTTAAATTTGAAAATTGGTCAGTATGCATTGACAGAAACTTACAGAACTGAATCTTTTTAAAAAGTTCAATATCAATCAATAATTGGCAAACAAAAGACAACTCAAGAGGTTGATTATTTGAATTAAAGCAAGAGAAACTTCATTCTATGTGCAACGGGAGTAATCTTTCATAGTTAGTGAAAAACATAGTGTAAATTACTATTAGGATATGTTATTTTATAATATACCTATGTTGAACATTTAACTGGAGATTAATTTTGTTTAACCTAAAATACAGGTATTAAGTCAATTTAATATTTGCTAACAACAAAAAAGTCAAATTACCCAGAAGATAACACACTTAAATATATAAAATAATAGCATTATTAACCAAGCTATTATATAACATTCAGGACTTCATGGGTATATATTCAGATATTTCAAAATAAATATTAATTTATATAGAACTAAGATAAACTAATTTGGAATGAGATTACTCAATGTTAGAACAATGAAAATTTTTATACTTTTCATTAATTCTAATTTTACTAAGTAAATTTATTAATAAAATGGAGCAAATATGTTTACACCTGGCACATCTCTTACCTCAGGAGACATACATACATATTCTCTTATAAAAACTGGTGTTAAAAATGAAATAGTTGCAAAATTTTTCTTAATGACACTTATCACCATAACAGGAAGCAAATTTAAATAATTTTAGAAACCTGGACTCAATATGGGGTATGCCTTAGTATTGCTAAACACTTTCCCCTCATGTAGACATATATTTATGATTTATTCCTCAGTCTATACAAATTGCTGGCATTGATAACATTTTGCCATTGGCTTATTCATTATTGACATTTTTACAAAATTATTTTCTAATTTTGTTGAAACAGTTTACAAGAAAATATTTGTTTTGTTTGAAAATCAAAATTTTATAAAACAGCTAGCATGTAAAAGTACTTTAGATAACACAACTATGAATTATGTCATCTAAGAACAGTTTTATTAACTAAATATTGATTTATTTTATATTTTTCTACATGATAACTTACTGAAACCACAGACTATATTTTCAAGTATTAGTTTTGAATGTAAAACAAAATTAAAAACTTTACTTCCAACAGGAATAAACAGTAGCACCAGCAATTATTTAGACTAATACATTTGCAGGTAAGAGAAGCATAGGCTTTAGTGAATAAAAACACAGAAGGCCAAAGACAAAGCTAGAAGGGTTCATGAATCACATAGTACGCCATATTCACATAGCTATGCTATCCTAACTAACAAATGGTAATGACAGATAATGATAATGAAAGTATTTCCAAACATATATTGAATGTATACTACATACTGAGCACTATGCTTTTTGTACACTATGATTTAATTCTCACAGGCACCGTATGAAGTAGGTGCCGTTATTTTCTTTCTTTTTATTTTTATTTCAGCATATTACGGGGGTACAAATGTTTAGGTTACATATATTGCCCTTGCCCCACCCGAGTCAGAGCTTCAAATGTGTCCATCCCCCAGATGATGCGCACTGCACCTGTTAGGTGTGAATATACCCATCCCCTCCATCCCCTCCCACCTGCCCGACACACAGTGAATGTTAATATTATATGTGCACTTAAGTGTTGATCAGTTAATACCAATTTGATGGTGAGTACATATGGTGCTTGTTTTTCCATTCTTGTGATACTTCACTTAGTAGAATGGGTTCTAGCTCTAACCAGGATAATATAAGAAGTGCAGGTATCATTATTTTCAATCTACACTTCACAGATGAAGAAACAGAGACTCAAGGTGGTTAAACAACTCTGTTTCACTTCAAAGTCTATGCTTCAAACTGCTATTTTATATTATTTTTTGACTCCAAAGTTTCTAACAGTATTAATAGACATAGATGGATAGTACAGTTTAGGGTAGCATACAGGGACATAAGGAAATTCAAGCACTTTGGCTTTTCATGCACTCCAAAAACAATAATAATGAAACCAAGTCAATAAATGCTCCAAAAATAGTGATAATAAAACCGAATTAATACACGAAACAGGTAAATAAAATCCTTGCACTATAAAATGTAATACAAGCCAAAATGAAATAATGAGTGACCTCTTCTTCAAAAATGAAATATATATTTTTTAAAATAATGCTGATGAGATTCTATTGAAAAATAATGGTATAAATGATGCACCTGGGGTTATTGCAAGCCCTGGAACTTTTAGGATTGCTGATAAAGTTGAAAGGACTAAGAGTAAATATGTTATGGATCATGGAATTTTACTGAGAAGTTACTGGTCAGGATATCAAAGAAGTTCTTTGAACTATTATGATGAGAGAAAACTGAAGGAAACTAATGTCTGAAAAAGGAAACTGAAACATCCTCATTATAAATTATCACACCCAAGCCCATACCATCATTACTGCAATGTAAAGCACTCGCTCAGTTAAAGAGGTAAAAAATTACGAAGCATTTTAAAAAAATGATACATATATTTAACATCAATTTCTTTCTCCAATATTAAAGACCAATTTCTAGACCTTAGCAAATAATTTTTGAGGGTGTAAAATGGGCTTTTGTATTTGAATATATCAATTCTTTTAGTATATTATGGAAAGGAATATAGAAGTTAACTTCTGACCTTGTCACCTGAAATTTAAAAATAAATTTTTATGTCTATAATCACAAACAGATTAGTTAGACTTAAAAGTGTGCATAGCAATTCATTAATAACCGACAGTTCTGCCTAATACCTGTATCAAACACAACTTTCTCATTTCCAGGGGGAATGATGAAGCTGCTCCCAATGACGAGGTCAAACTTAAGTCACAGAAATGAAAACATGGGGCATTAAACCAGGAAAGCACATTTCTTCAATCATAGTTCAGGGATGCCAGAGAAGAAAAACAGCTGAGAGTTATTACTTAAAGAATCTGTGTTACAGGAGAACATAAATAGAATACTCATTTATTCTTTTTGCTGGGTTAAATAAATAGCCTCTGCTCTGGTCCTAAACTTTTGACTTGAGATTCTTTGTAATTCAAATAATGAATTCATATTTACTGAGCATCTATTATGTAATACCTCAATAATATTACCTCAATTTTTCATGTTCTACCTAATGGAGAATTAGGCTTTACAGAAATATCTACCAAGAAGTTGCCCAGCACTAGATATGAATGTTCTATTATTTCAGTATAAAGGACCCTTTTGTTGTCTATAGCATTACACAGCTAATTCATATTTACTAAAACCACTATTTTTCTAATTTGCCTACATACCTCATAAGCCACTGAAAAAATACACACATGCACACACATACACACATTTATTTAAGGAGCGACTGGCTCCCTATTCTTCTGCTATGGCATGTTACAGAAGTTAGATGGTTGAAGAAATTAATACATCATGTTCCCTAAGAGAGGTTTCCACTTTACTGATAGAAATCTACCTCTGAGGGCAGAGCAAAAGATGACTATATGATAAAATGGAAAGAACATGAACACCTTATATAATTATTTGGGTTTGGGGCTGGCCTGACGTGTGTATAACCCATGCAACTTCTTAGAATGTATGGCCTGATTTGCTGCTGCCATCTTGAAATTCTTACTAATTTTTTTTCAAAGAATCCTGCACCTTTCTTTTTCACTGGGATCTGCAAATTATGTAGCCAATCCTACACAATTATGGTTTGGAATTATGACTTTGCTGTGTGATTCGTATAAACTAAATCTAAGCCATAGCTTTTATAGCTGTAAGAAAGGGATAATACACAATTAACAGGGTTGGTGGGAGTATTAGATAATATACCATATGTGAAAGTAATAAGCACTGAGGATGGCACATAAGACCACAAAAGAGATGTGAGATAAAATTCAGCTAGAACAGTTCTTATTCTTATTTCTAGGGATCTGGGACATACAGAAATTACCATATAATTAGAAACTAACTATATAATTAGGTATAGTTGAAATTTAAACTTTAATACTTACAACCCATATATCTGTGGTGCAATTTCTAGTCTGTTCAAGTGCATGTAGAGCTCAATATCATGTTTCTTCAGCAGATGATCTTGGATCTGGTTGACTTTAGTAACAATAGCAATTGTTGGCCCTAAATCCTGTGGTCTAGCAAAGGGAATGGGAGTCATCAGTGTTTCTTTCCCCTAAAAACAGGAAAAAATGGAATATGTAATATTCTAATATGAAATGAAAAATATATCAGCATCATTCATCAGTGAGAGTTTAAACAAGAACACTTTAGTCACCTCATGACAAACACTTATATGGGAATCATATGCTGATCATCATATGGATGATTGTGCTGTGCTCATAAAGCAGTGGCTAGAAAATGGCTTCTAAATATTTTTCACCTGTATTTCCTTGACCAGTTTCTTTTGTGACATTAAGTTCTACAAGATAATTTTGGCTAGAGGTAGTCATGGCCACTACAGTCTATCTACCAGTTACTCTATGGTCAGTTTATCTGATTAGCCATGGTATATAAATGGAATATTTTGATGGAAAGCTATTTCTTGTAGCATAACCCAAATATGAAAAACAATAAATATTGTTTTACTTTGAATTCTCAAAACTGCATATATAAATAAGCTGGAAATAAAAGAAACTAGTATTGGAAAAGAGTATGTTTTTTAATTGTCCTATTAATTTAAATAGCTGAGTAAAAAGATTTTTAAACTCTCTAGATCAGAAGCACAGCTAGCTTAAAAAAACAAAATCTATGTTGGGCCATCTGCAACTTCACTTCTTGTCATCCCTTGTCTCATACTAATAGAGATGTATGACTAACTCCTTGTAATGTTTTCATGTAAACTTCAACACTCAGGTGTGATCATGTCCCCTTACATATTATGTCTGAACTTTCTTCTGTTGTTTACTTCTCAATTTCTACCTCTCTCCAATATTTGCATCTATGGCATCATTCTCTTGTGATTTTCTGCCTACCACTCGTTCTCAGTCTATTTCTCTAGCTCAAATTCTGTTTCTCAAATGTTGCTTTTTCATACAATTCTGATGATAGTTTTACTCTCTACTTACATGCTACCTCCTAAGTGACTGCAATTACACATAATGCTTCAAACAATACCCATTTTCCAAAGACTTCTTAATCTGTATTCACATCCTAGAACTCTCAAGTGCCTCCCATAAATTCAAATGTTGGCAAGAATCCTGGATTGCCACAAGGGTCTCTAGTTGAGCAACCTACAACTGAGCTTATCATCTTTTGCTCAAAAACATGTTCTTCCTTTCACCATGTCCACTTCAAGTTATCATTCAATAAAAATAGCTAGTCTGCCAATTTTAGCTGCTCACTACCACTTTTATCTGTCCCCTCTTCTACAGCCCCATTGGCACAAACTGATTTGAGGCCCTTATCATTTTTTTCCTCCACACTGCTCTCACTGCCTCTAATTTAGTTTTCTTTTAAATCCATCTTCCAAAATGCAAGGTGATCTACCTGAAACAAAAATTAGATTATACTAAGTTGGACCTCCTTCCTTAAGACTTCTTATTAGCTCCCATCATTTTTGCTCAAGAAAAAAAGGCCAAATTCCTCAGCCATATCTGCAAGACCCCTCATTAGGTGGCCAGTCTCTACTTTCATCATGCTTCCAGAGATCCTGAGTACGCCATTCTTTCACCGAAATATCCTCTCCCTCGCATCTCCACTGAGGAGCTCTCAAATCTATTTAAAGATTGGGATCAAGTACTAGGTCCTATTTCTTTACCTTCTCTGCTACCACAGCATCCTTCACTATTTCTCTCTCCTACTAAACTGTAAGATCTCTAAAAGGAAGATCATTTTTTCATCAGTGGACTGGATTTAAGGACACAAAGACAAAGAGGGCAAAGCTCTTGCCCTCACAGTCTACAGGAAAAGACTACCTAGCAAACAAATCGAATTCCACATAAGACCAGCTACTAATCAGCTGATAGAAAGATCAGGGGAAAGGAGGGGAATGTGTTAAGATAAGAGAAAACTTCCTGGAAGGGAATGAGTTAGTATAAGGGAAAACTTCGTGGAAGATTTGTCTTTCCAGAATCATTTCAAGTCTTAGAAAGAAATGCACTCCCTTTGTATTTTAATACTTTGTACAGTATGTGCCCTAGTGTCTTCAGATCCAAAGTTATAAGACCATGTTAATTTTTATGGTTCAATTATTTATGTTAATTTGTATAAACAAAAGGAAACTTCTATATTATGGTTACCTATTATTAATATAAAAACAATATATCCAAGACATCTTTTTCTGATTTTATAATATCTAGTACACTCTTATGATAGAATGCTTTAATTTAAAAAAAATTCAAATTTTTCAATAATTTGAACCCTTTCAAATAAATTGCTTTGTACTGATATTAACTTTAAAATATTTTTTTTAAATTCATGTTAATTATAAGATACCATTCATATTCAAAAGATATTGTTTACTCTGAAGCCAAATTTCCTTAAAAATCTATTTGATACAGATTTTAGCTATGAACTTTATAGCAACAACTCAGTAGGGTAGCAATAGAAATTTACATAATTTTATAACTAAGTAGTTATATTGCTTGATTAACATATATACATATAAAGAAAAGTTTCTCTTTACCTATATAAAATTTTTATTTTGCCTTTGTATATATGTCAATATAATTAAAAATATACTTAGATCCCAGGTTCAATCTTATTCCATAGGTATTTTCATATGTTTATTCTGGTTATTGCAACAATGACTATAAATTATTCTCTCACTACATGTTGTTATTTACTGAAATCATTTATTTCCTCAAATATACTGAAAGGATCTGTACTGTAAGATTTACCTTTTGACCATCATGCTCAAAAGTTGAAAACCAAGGTTCAGCAGTTTCCATAAGTTGTGAGAACATCGCACTAAAAATTAGAAAATAATATAATGCTTTGTTTACCTTTCATTAAAGTAACAATGGTATAAAAAATAAAAATAACAAAGTTTTTATACTTACTAGGCATCATGTTCCAGATATTCAGGGTCCAAGAGAGTTTTCATTTCCTCACTTAAAAAAAAGCAATACAAGCAATCAAAATGTGTAATGTTTTAATAATTAGAGCAGACACAGAGTTTGCCTTACTCTATACTCATAAAATAACATTCATACCATGTGCAAATAAAAAAAATTAGCTCTTTTTAATGAAAACAGCAACTCCATCAACAAATGATATCCTTTCTATAAAGATCAAATTAGCTGTCTTGTGTGCATCACAATGAAGTAACTGACTATTCCAAATAAATACAGAATGTAACAATATATTCCTTGACTAGAATGTTTGATCTAGAATCATTGATTACTCTATAATCTATCACTTATCTAAAACAAGACCAAAAATATATATAGTTATTGGTCCAATATATAATATAAAAACATCATTTTCTTTAAATGACATTTATTTTTATTTTAATATCAATTAATCAATGACAGTACTTTTTACAAATTTATTTTACTGTTATTTTTACTTTTTAATGAATTGAAACAAGTGAAAAAGCATGTCCAACTCACTTAAAAACAATTTTCAATCATCTATACTGTCCTTTAAATTACATTCTACATGCACATGTTTTGTTTTCTTAGATCTCCTGAAGCATGCATGCATATATTCCAAAAAAAAAAAAAAAAAAAAAAAACCAAAAACCTAAACTGGCATGAAAACATGATCCCAATACTAACTTCATCTTTATATTTTAGAATAACTGAAGTAAAGTCAATTAAGATATGGTTATTCTTGTGAAGATCCAATAAACTCAGTAAAATTAGAAAAACTTTAAAAAACTTAAAAATACTAAATTATAAACTAGTAGACAAAAGTTAATTTAACAAAAGCTGAAATATATGCTCAGCAAATAGGATAGCTATATTTGATTAATACAGATCTTATAGTTAGACTTCTGAAATATTATCTGCTAGTTTCCCATTTACTACATATAGAGGGGCTAGCCTATGGAATATTCCCGATACAGCCTTACAATTGTACAACCCTCCATTCCTAAAATGCTTCTTGGTTGCCTCTCTGGCCCATTAGCTAGGGTATCTTAAGTAAATGAACTCTAACAGTTAACCTAAGTTAAATCAAATTACCAAAGTTATTTGCAGGAAAGAGTAAATGAATGCATTTCAAAAAATATGAGAAACCACTTTATTTATTACAAACACAGGTTCTTTGTAGCTCTGATCCCTTGTTTATGAACAAAACTGAGTCAAATCTGGTAAGGAGAAATTATCTTTCAAAGTTCTCATTCAGCTTGTAGTGAAAAATGGGTCATTAAATGATGGTATATATGAATATTATCAATCATTAGCTCTTTTGTCATTACAACAAAAATTTCCTCTTCTTGATCCATTAGTTAGTTATATGTCTTCTTTTCCTATAGACAATAGATTTCATTTATGATGCCAACTTTGCCCCATAGCTAACTGACATTAGAACTATTAAGTGGAATCCACAATTAGCCACATGAAACATAATCAAATGTTTATAACTTACAAACTTAGAAGTAACTTCAATTTAAAAGATTTTGAAGTAAAAAAGATTACAGTGGAGGCTGCAAAAACATATGGAGCTCATATAAAAACTTGCCTGGCCTGTGCAGACTCACTGGCATGTAGGAAAGCTTGCTGGTCACAGTGAAGGATAAAGACTATAGGTGCTAACAGCTCGTGCATGCCCTAAAACAAAAGAGCAAGAAAAATGAAAGTGGATACTGACAGTACATTAGCAAAGACTATAAGCTCAGTTAAATGCTTCTTCAACTGATCCCCCCCCACGATTTCCATATTATACAGAAAAACATAAAAATGGAAACCTATAAAATAAGATTTTTATCTACTTTTAGAATTTTATTCCAATTCAACCATAGCAGGTATTCTTCTTTAAAACATGGTGAGCAGTTCACTTTTAAATGACATGACAAACAATAAATTGGCATGGTAGACAACCTTGCACCTGTCAGTTGCCTCAAGATCTGTACTCATAAATATGAATTTCATTTATGCAAATTATAATCATGAACTACAGTGTAAAGATCTGCAGAAAGAAGGACAACTAAGAACTGTAGACCTAAGGAAATTATATCCAATGTTTTCATTATATAATGGCTCAAAATTAGGATGTCTGTAGATTTAGGAAGAGCTGAAGTAAGCTAGCTAGAAATGTTGGATAATAAAAGAAACCACCTTTAGTAGGTATGACAGAAAATAAAGTTTTTAAAATATGATTTTCAACATGTTTAATCAGAAAACTACCATAATTTTTTCCTATCTACTTCAACTATAAGATTAATTTTAAATTTATTTAATGATTTTAATACAAATTTTCCTCTTATATTGGAGTTCACCAAGAATAGGCATAGAAACAAAAAAGTATCTTATTAGTTGCTAAGCTGTCTTTAAAAAGGTATTACAAAAATCCATTATTTAGCCATTATTGTGGGGACATAAGGTATTCCGCATTAGTGACTAGCCTTGCTAATCAAAATATTTTCCTCTTTAAGCATCAAAAAACATATTTTAGCAAGTTAAAATAGATTATAATCTTTCCTATCTCTTAAAGTAAGCACATTACCACTTTCCTTTTGCTTCATAACTAAGAATGCTTTACTAAAGAAAGACAAGAGAAAATGCCATCTTATAGAGGAAATAAAAATAAAATACGAGAGAGTACAGAGGAGAGACATTTTTTACTGGTGGAATTAGAGGGGGCTTCCTGTAATGGACAGTCATATAGCCCTCTGCATAGTCTAGCAGTACTGTGCTCTTTTTAGGAAGCCAGCTCTTATCACATACCACATATGCAGGGGATACAATTCAAGACCCTCCCAGTAGATGCCTAAAACTGTGGATAATACCAAACCCTATGCATACTATGTTTTTTCTATACTTATGTGACTATGATAAAGTTTAATTTGTAAATTAGGCACACTAAGAGATTAACAACTACAAATAAAATAAAATAATTATCATAATATGCTGCAGTAAAAGTTATACAAATGTGTTTTCTCTCTCACAATATCTTATTGTACTCTACCCATCTATTTTCAGACCATGGTTGACCATGGGTAACTGAAACCACAGAGACTGAAACTGTAGGTGAGGGTGGACCACTGTACAGTCATAATCTACAGTAAGTGGTGTGTGTATATGTATTAATATAAACCTGTATATATATGAATCCAGATCCTACCATAGGCCCAGCACAAAGAAAGTACTCACTACACATAGATTTATTGAAATACCTACCACTTAATAAATCAACATATTGAAAAAACTGAACTACATATAAAAAATAGCATTAAATCATATTTCAAATCCATAAATAAAGGTGTTCTTTGAAGAATGGAAATTAAGAGTCGTCTGAATACTATTAAGACAATCTTTCACAAGTTTAGACTTTCATCTAAACTAGAGATATTTTTTCAAATACCTGAAAGAGACTGTTAGTTTTGCTCTCAATTCTAGACCAGAAAAATCTCATTAATAATTGTAAGTGGCAAGTATAAGTATATAGACATCCTTAAAAGAAAAAAGAAATATCCAGAAAGAATAATCATGAATTCAACATGCTTTAAATTTGACAAAGCAAAATAAAAAATGTATTTTCAGTATACTTCTTGGTTCCCAAAATGTGTATTTTTTGCTTCCACCTATATTGTCAGCATTTCTGCAAGCTTTTATCCCTGCTAGATTGTTAGTAGTCACTGCACTCCAAGCTCATGCCAGTTGAATAAAGGTAACAAAGTTTTCTTCATCAACAGCCTGTAGGCTCACAAAATTGAACCTGTTCTTTTATCTGACTGTGTTCATTTAGCCCACCAAGCAGTCTTTATTAAAGCTGAGGCATCAGGCAGTCAAAGTTCATTAATACCATTTATATAATCTCTGCAATTTCAATTAACTCAGCAAGACATTCTACTACATGATAACAGTCTCATTAATTCAATAAAATCCCATAACTATTAACAATATGGTCGATGTTAAACGGGGTGTCACCTAGTACAAAATAATAGCTTTAACAGCTTGTGATGAACTCAAGGTTTTTTTTTCTAAATTTGATCTGGCTAAATATTCTGTCCTTCTATAGCAAGGTATTATTTCTCTGTAAAAAAAAAATCTATAGGATTTTAAACATCTACAGGGAGTAATTAAGTATTTTTAAGTAATACATAAGAGTAAGCTAATAATACTTGTTATCCCATATTTGATGGAATTTGTCTAAATTATTAAGAATCTGATCTTCCATATTGCTGAGTAGTCAGTTTTCCATACAAATTCAGTGGGCCACATATATCACAAATAGTGGAGTATGTAGTTATTGTGTTTTTGTTCCTCGCCTACGAAACTTATTTTCATTATTGCCTAAGACTTCTTTAATGTGATTTTTTTTTCTTTCTCTAAAGAAAAACAGGAAAACAGATGTGTACATTGTGATAATTTTATCCTGACATTATTCACTATCATCAAATCTTTTACTGTGAAGTATTTTCAAATATTTGAAAGAGAGGGAACAAGGAGATAGCCTTTACAACAAAAGCCAACATAGTGAGAAGAGAGCAGAAAAATAAAAAAAACCTGGATCCTTGATGAAGATTCTGAGCTACTGAACTAACTAATGCTGTAGAAGCATTTACCCCCAGACTTCGTGCTATGTGTGTTAATAACACCCTTACAGTTAAGCCATTTTGAATGGAGCCTTCTGTTATTTGCTTCCAAAAGAATTCTATACTAACACAGATTTTTTTTTCTCCCAGTCTCCTTTTCGTGTTTGTTTGTTTTTGGTTTTTTGACATCGTATTTGACTTCTAGATAGCCTACCTTGCTTGCAAAAGCCATTTCTATCCTGAGATTACACAGAAGTTCTCCTAAATCTTCTTCTAGTATTTTTATATACTTTTAGTTTTTACATTTATATCTTTACTCCATCTGGAATTTATTCCCCAATGAAGGTATAATTTAATCTTTTTTCCAGATGGAAAGCCAAATATAGCAAGTCAATATTCTTTTCCCTATTTTATCATATTAAGATCCTATATATAATTGGACCTTTTCGTATAGTTCCACTGATCTATTGGTCGATTCTCATAGTATCATTACAATAGTTTGATCACAGAACATTTACAGAAATATTACTATCTCCCTTTGCCATTCTCCCTCTCCCACAAATTCTGTGGAAACTCCAAAACACTTAATAATTATAATGATGATAATAATAATAATAACTGCAACTACCAACATGAACCATTGCTGATCACTCTATGTTAGCTTTATAAAAGTAAATACTATTGTTGCCCTCATTTTACAGATAATGAAACTAAGGATTAGAAAAGTAAAGTAAGTAAATATTCTAAGATTATGCAGTTAGGAAATGGTAGAGCTAAGATTCAAATAAAGGGAGTTGAGTCTAGATCCAGTGCTTTTAACAACTGAGCTAAATTATCTCCTTTAAAATAACTATAAAGTTTTAGGCACTAAATTTAAAATAACTGCATCTAGTTTTTGAAAAAGCACATATCTCATTTAGATTATTACTGGAATGACAATACATTTATATATTAGTTTGGAAACAAGTAGTGTTTTTACTTAACGTTTTCTCATCCAAAAACATGCTATCATTTTCTTTCTATTTATTCAATTTTTGCTTTATGTCCTTCAATAACATTTATAGTTTTCTTCATATAGCTTTTATATCTTTTATTATTAAGTTTATTTCTAGATATTTTACGGTTTTGGTTGCCATTATGAATGGGATATATTTTTTCACTTCCAATTCTAAAAAGCTATTGTTAACATGTAACTAATATAAAGACATATTACTAATATAAAAAATAAGATAAAATTTATGTATCCTATAATAAATGTATTACTTAGTATAATTGTAATATGACTTGGTTTACTGTCTTTAAATCTATTAAATTTATTTCAAATTAAATATATTGCTTTTGTCATAAGTGTTTTCTATTATATTAAATCGAAGTTCAGTGGTCATCAAATAGAGATATATGTTATAAATTTTGAATATTAGAGAACTTATGAATTTAGTTTGAATTCCTACTTAATATACATTTGGAGTAATACATAAAAATATCCAAGTGTGTGTGTTTTTATTGGAATACCATAAACTTAAACAGAAAATCTAGATATATCTTAATATATTAAATAATTTATAATTTATTAAAGTAAAACAGTCCAATAATCTGCTTTGCATTAGTAGCAAGATGAGTCAATAACAGAATCACAAAGAAACTAAATATAAATTTCAAAAAATTTAAAGGAAACTTACTGAATATCTGTTACTGGTAAGTTTTAAAGAGTAATGATATACTTGATTATTTTTTACATGACATGTCACATTTTTATAAATGCCGTACTTAAAAATAACATTTATACATACAACTCTGAAAAGTTTTATTACTAGATTGGCTTCAAAGATGCTGTTTATAAACAAACTCACAAGAGTTGAAAGAAAAGATTGAACACCTTATAGAAGACAATTTGGTGGAATGTCTTATAATGAGGAAGAAGCATATGTGCTTCAATGAGCTTACTTTTCCCACCATGCAACTGACAAGCAGCTCTCTGATTGCTTTAGCATTATGATACAACTTTGGATACAATAAAGGCTACATTATTGCTCTATCATTTGTCAAGCTGTATAGAAAATTTTCAGTCAATGGATGCCACCTGTAAGATATTTTCATTACCTGTTTATAAAGCAACTGCTCGTTTTCTCTAGCATAACAGAAAAGAACATCTGTAAGAATTTTTCTCACATTTTCTTCTTGGAAAAACTGCATTTCAGGAAACCTGCAAAAAAGGAAACACAGGAATGAAACTCACTAATACAGGTTCAAGGATTACCCTAAAACTCTCATCTCTAAGAGATGCCAAGGGCTGCTTCAGGTTTTAGAACAAGTCTGCATTTGTCATGCAACTTATGCTACTGGTGGGATGAAAAAGGGGTGAGGAAAAGGGAAATGATTATATCCCAGAGGTAAATGACACCTTTCAACATCTAAACATCTCATATTTCCTCACGTACTTCATCCATGTGTGAACACGTATAATAATTTTTAAGCAAAATGAATTATTGCCCATCTGTTTGGGAGCAAGGTTTGCTTTGTTTCAGCTCATTTGATTTGTAGGACTAGAAGGTGATTTTGTAAAAGTACCAACTATTTCAAAACATCACTATCATTGATTTTTCTTGACATAAAATATCAGTATTTCAATTATTATATTATATATGACCATACTATCCACTTCATCATATTAAAATGTAGACTTCAAATGGAACAAATGCTCTCTAGTTCAAAAACTCTACCAGGTGCTTTGAGGTAATGTGAAATAGAAAAAGAGCAGGGAATCTGCTTGAAAGGAGTATAAACTGTTGTTTATAATGCAAGAATATATAACTGCAAGAACCCAAAGTGCAAACACATAGCAATGCAATACACACTGACTATGTAAAGGCAGAGGGAATGTCATGGAGGAGTGAACAGTCAACTGGGTTCAATTAGAAGGTTTGAATAAGAATTTTTAGAAGAGGAATATGGAACATCAGTGCAGAAGGTAACCAAACCAGAAGGAAAGATGTGAAGGCACAGAAGGCAATGAGTGTTTCAAGTGTGCAGCACAGCAAGGTAATTAGTAATCAGAGAGAAAAGAGAATTCCATGAAGTACTGACAGTTGGGAGCAAGACAGTGGGACAGAAGAAAAGGTGGGGCAAGTCTGGAAACAGCTTTGAATGCTGAATTTACAACTAAAGAAACAACACAGTGAATCTACATTTTTGAATAGGGAAGTGATAATGAAAACAGTATGTGAGTAACTCTAAGTAGGAATAAGCCTGAAAGAGTAGAACTTACAGGAAGGATATAAGAATGCATTACAATGACAAGATATTAAAAAATTCCAAACTCTAGTACAAAAAGCCTGTGTTCAATTCATGTTGCATAATTTCTAGCTAGTTAATCTTGAGCAAATGACTGCTTAACTGCCTCATCCATTGAGCAGAGAGAACAATACTGAATTGGTGATCAAGATGAGACTATGTGAAAGCACCAAGTGTAGTACATGACAAGTAATAGATATTTAGGAATACAGGTCATTATTAGTACTTGAGTAACAGTACTTTGGGTGATAAAGATGTGGATTAGGTGGCTCTGGAACTAGAAAATAAGAGAAAACATAAGAGACTGAAGAGGAAGATGACCTACAGCATGGAGTCATGGGGCATTATTGAAACAGAAAAATATTTCTTAATAAGAGTCTTTTAAAGAGCAATAATGGCTGTATTAATTCATATTATAATGGTTTGCTGCCTCCTATTTCTGGAGACCTCAGCTGTTTTATGTTTCACTCTGATCCTCTGTTGGCTTCCTATGAGAGTTATAACTTTCCCTCCAGTCCAGACTAGGATTTTCAGTGAACTATGCTACAGATTTGTGAAGCATCTTTTTTTCTGGTCCTAATTTTAAAAATAGATTAAGGCCTATTTCATCTTCATCTATTCATTTAACTTTTTCTTACAACTGCTGTTGATATGGCAATTGTCCCCAGACATAGATATTTGATCTTTTCTGTAGCAGCAAGGATGCATCCCTTTTGCGGGCTGGTAAACAACCTAAGGACCTGAGCAAGATTACTGCACATCTCTGCATAAATCTTAATGTGATCCTCTAGTCAGTCCCTATCCAGGCATAGGAGTTTGAGTAGGGGTGGCACGAGAGACTTCCAGACATGGAAGTTCAAATAGGGGTGGCACAACTGACGTTTCCTAAAGAAGAGAAAAATTAACCTCAAAGTAGATTCTCAGTAGGGATAACATGTCGTGGAAGCCAAAGAAGTTCCAGAAAGATGTCAAATGCACTAAAAGTTGGAAAGAAACACAAAAATTTATTAATTGACTAATTTGGGACAAAAGAAAGTTGTTAAAGCCCTTAGAAAGTCAAATATTCAAATTAATCAAGATGAAACAGAGATAAGTAGTTAGTAAAATAAACTGCTGTAGAGAAATTTCTTGGGTAAACATAGCCATTAAGGTAAGAATAGAATAATCCTTTTGAGAGGTGAAATTTTCTCCTCCTCTTCCTCATTATGTCTTAAATTTAGCCCTGTCATTAAGTTGGCTTCATGTCTAAAGATTTGGCTCACCTGGCTTAATGATTATGTGTGTCCCCTTCTTTACCTATCCTTTGGAAATTTATATGTACATCGGCACAACCGAATTCTGTAGAGCTGTTGCAATCTGAATGGTTTTTGGAAGAAAGTACTACTAAAAACTGCTACCTGCACGTTGCAACAAATATCCATGAACTATATAATAAGAGTTTAATACTTAAATACTATAAATGTAAATTATACTGTATACCAATTCATGGTTTCATTTAAATGCACACTAACCACTTGCAAGATTAAAAACTAGAGATCTAGAAGAATTAAATTGCAGGTAGATAATTTAAATTGCCCACTTTTAGTAAACACCCAATCAACTGAAAACATGTATTAGGCAGATATAGCATATCTATGCAATAGCACACCATCTACAATTCTACTCTACAATGCTGAAGTGCTAATCTGTGAAGTTTCATCATACTCTCTTTTTTAGAAAAATATGATGTTTTCTCTAAATTCTGATGAAGAATCCATTGCATCAAGTAAGTAAGGTAGAAAGACAAAACCTCTGAAAAAGAAGTAAAACTTTATGCTATTTCAGAGGTTGGAAAAAGAACTGAAATTTCAGAGAAGTTTTGAGCTGAAAGAGTCTTTGGAGATAATCCAGCCCAACTCAGAGATTAACAGGCAAAGAAACTGAAGCACAGAAAAATTAATACCTGTGCCAATGTATCTGGATAGTTAGCAGAACAGCAGTACTTTCCAACTGTTTCCCTAATCAGTTATAAATGAATCAGAGAAATGCATTTAGGTAAAATTCCTTGACTTTATATTTATGCAGAAGAACCGAGCTCAGAAGGTTGATGAATATACCTGAACAATAACATATTTCGTATAAAAATACTTGATTGTCATATTACCAGGATTCAATCCAGAAGATGTTACATTTATGTGAATCAGAAATGAGAGAGAAAAGCACAGTGAGTAGCATTTCTAGGAATAGTAATAATCAGTTTTTAATGATATGTTGTAAGCTTCAGAATAGTTTGCGTGCCACCCATTACACTAGTCTAGCCTTTTTTACTCATGCCAGCTGGTGTTGTTTCAGGATAGGTAAAGTAATTTGAATATCAGTCTAGCCCAAAAATCACTAGAAAGGCAAATCTGTTTTTGAAACAGTAATAAAAAACAGAATATTGACCCACACTGGATTCGACAATCATTCAGATTTTGAAAAATCAACAATGACTCCATAGTCTCACACAAAAAAAGAAAGAAATGGTACTAATTTCAGAAAAGATACTGAAGGAAAAATGTTAGAATGAAAACGGTAGAAGTTCATAATTCATTCAAGCCAAAATATCTGAAAGGGAAAAAAAAAAGGAAAAAAAAATCACACTAAATAAAGATGGGATACAAATTTTTTTATTATCAGAAAATGAAAGCCTAAGAGAGGTTATTTCTGCACTTGGCCAGAAAATAAAAGTTGACATGTAATATAGGTAAGGGTAAAACTCTAAAAATAGAGATCAACAGCAAAGAGGAAAGTCAGTATTCTATGATGAAATTTAGAATAGAAGAGCCTAAAATTTTTACTTTATGGAAAAGGGTGGTATCTCAGTTTCAACTTATTTGATCAATATTTAAAATATAGAAGTTTCTCTCTAAGATGTGTGAAGAAACTAGCTGTAAATAAATTTTACATAGTGCAAAGTAACAAGAGCTATCATAAAAGCTTAGTGTATTAGTTGTGTTTTCTGTCTCGAAATAAACCAAAACTAATAGGCAATATAGTTTTATTATAACTTTTAAAAATCTTTTATTATAGAAAATTCAAACGTTTATAAAGAGATGATAGTAGACTGAACCTCAATCCATTTATCACCTAACTTCTCACTAATCAATTCTCCTCCTCCTCCAATATTGCATTACTTTGAAATGAACCCCAAACATCACTGTATCTATGAATATTGCAATATGAATCTCTAAAAGACAGTTTTTAAAAACTGTGCCATTGTAACATTACTACTAATAAAAATAATCCACTAACTTAAACATCTAGTGTTCAAATTTCTGAGTCCAAATTGTTTACACTTTGTCCAAGATCCAAGAAATTTGTCCATATTGCAATTTGATATGTCTCTTAACATTCTTTATTTTATAGATTTGTCCTTCCTCTCATTTGTTTTTTCTTGCAAAGTATTTTTCAAAGAAATCAGATTCTTTATCCTGTAAATTTCCCACATTCTGAATTTTACTTATTGCACCCTTACTGTGTTATTTAACACATTTCTTTTCCCCCTGCATTTCCTATCAGCTGATAGAGCCAGAGACTTTGTCAGATTCAGGTTCAACTTTTCAACAAGATTCTTCATAGTTGGTATGATAGTTTGATAACATGTTTGCAAATTCTTTGATATTTACCCAACAAAAGTGAAGGAGACTAACTCTTTTGAGTATGTGCTTTATTGACCAGCTTCTCGCAAACTAAGTGCATCAAAAGTGATGCTATGACACTGCTTCTATCTGGCTCTCTCTCTGTACACATTCTCAGAAGCAAGCCACCATGCTGGGAGGAAAGCATCTATATGAAAAGGCTAAGTGGTGGTGTTTTAGCCATATTCCCAGAGACAATCTCAGTTGACAGTTGCCTTCAACAACCAGACAGCTGAGTAAGAAAGCCTTCAGA